TAAAAAAAAAAAAAAAAAAAAAAATAAACGCTACAAGATATGGAAAATATCGTTTATTTATTGAAAGTGTATAAAATAAGGGTTATTTTTAGTTGTGTTTTGAAAATTAAGTCTTCCAAATGTCGGTCTTGACGGGCAATACAAATATTTTTTGTCTCTCTTCGACATATATTCCGGTGATTTCTTCACATAGCTTCGAGTTCTTCAAGGATTAGATGACGGTATATTATAGCATAAAACCTCAGGTACCCCATAACCTTTGAGGTACCCCATAGGAAAATGGCATATGGGCTCAAAATAAGGCAACGAAGGGGTTATGCTAAAGAGTGATGGGAAACGTCTAGGAACGGCTCCATATCGTGTGCATCGTCCATCAAGGCTAGCTTTCGAAAGATATAAATTTTAAACTCTAACTAAAAAAAAAACCTTATTATATGTACTTTCAACGAATAAAAAGTTTTTTCATGTCTTTTACTGTTTTTTTTAGTATAATTCACTTCAAAAATGTTGATCGTCTATTACGCCACACCCTGTATATAGGTAAAGAATTAATTGCAAACACGCCATCACTGGTTTGAAGTGTTTGCACGGGCTTTCGAGCAGATCAGTGAAAACGATGAGAATATTATGAGAGAGAGAGAGAGAGAGAGAAAGAGAGAGAAAAAATGTCTATTATACGAGTATTATCCAGAAGATTATTATTATCGTATCGTCGAGAGGCGGTGAAAATGTCGGGATTTCGATTTATTATAATAGCGCATCCGTCGGTAAATATCCTGCAGACGATTTGTATACTCCAAACACAACGAAATCCGCTTATATATTATAATTATACAGATACTGCACGATAACGGTTGCCACGATATTCCCCAGACTTGTTCACGATTTTTTTTTATCCAGAACGCCATTACCGGAGTAAATGCGTAAATATAATATATTATAATATCGACGCTGCCACTGAAGAAGGCAACGTAATTTACTTTTTATTTTATTTCAGGAGAGCAGTTTAAAATTGTTAATATCGAATTCTAATTGCGCAACATTGCAATCTTAATATAGTTTTTTAAAATATTTGTATTTTTTTAGTGTTAAATTGTAATTTTTTTTAAGTTGTCTTTCGGTAACTGACTTATATTCAACTTTAATTTAATTTTTTAAGTGACGTTTTTTTTTAATGGAAAATAAAAATAATTTGATAAAAAAGATGAGTCTCTTTTCGAAAGCAAATATAATAATATTACAGTAAATTATTCGATTTAAAAGTACCCTGAGGAAGATTCGAGGTACTGTCGTTGACGTGGGAGATAGCAAAAAAGATACTTGTTAAGATAGCTGGAAAAAAGTGAAAAAAGATAAAAGTTAGTTATGACCTTCTTAGAGCTTCATGTGATTAGCACTCCTACCTCAAGTATGTAAGAACAACGTGGGAACCCTTTTATCAGTCAGTCAGGGTTTTTGTTGGTGGCAAGAACATCACTCCCAGTGATGTTCTACACCGCTTCCGACATTCCATCTAGGAACCAGAACCGTTTCAGACACGATCAGCTGATCGTCAGTTTCTGCTCACGATTCACAATCTATTTACAAAATAATACGTACATAAAATACCCATTAAACTATGCAAATATTATAAAGTTAAGAGAGTTGGTGGGTGTGCCACTGTTGTAGGTGGAGATTCGGGAAGGTAAAATAAATTAAGTTCTTTAGTTTATATCTGTACGCAATGATCAATCATTGTTAACGAACAATTTTTCTGCGCGGAACTCGGTTAGGTAATTCCTTAAAACAGATTACAACAACATATATTAGTCTATACCGCCATCGCTACTACATCCATACACGTTTTATTCCAAATAACACGTAAAGAAAAGGCCTATATCTATATAAAATGCGAATATCTCTTCAATTATTTTTAACCAAATAACAAGAAAATGGAAAATAATGAAATCGACGTAGATCCAAAATACTACAGCAAAAGTTCTCTCGTTATTTTTTGATTGGAGTAAGATTTCCGGTATAAAAGTTGTACAGAGACCGAACAAAAAATATCGCATATCATAATAGAACCGATACATTCCTTACTACGCTGAGAATCTACAATTGACTTATCGAAATTATGTTAACATTAATACCGTAATATCTTAAATTTTCAGTAGGTGAAATTTTCACAATAGTTTTTGAAAGAAATTTCACGTTGTATTAAATATTAAGTAAGGATGTCTTATTAACTATGCACTTTTTTACGTAGATTTTGGACTATAATTTCAGATTCTTAGTGGAGCGCGAAGAATATATTGGTTTTACAATGATGTTTATTTTTTTTTCTATTTGTGAATAATTCTATGCAGCAGTGGATCCAGAAATTTTTTAAAGGGGGCACATTATTTATATTTTCATTAAATTAAATATAAAATATATAAATAAAAACTGAAGTCCATTTACAGAGGGAAATAGTTGGGCGTAATGTAGACATTCTTTTGTAAGTTTCAAAATTTGATGAAAAAACTGAACCCAGCTGTTCAGAGTTGTATTTGGTTATTAGATTTTCGTCAGTCGTGTGAAGCCGTATGAAGACACAACATGGAAGAGGAGCGGAGCTTATCGAGTACGTACGGGCTAATCCCATTTTGTCTTAAAAACAAGCAATACTGAAATCAAGTTTCGAGAAAGGAGACATGTGATGAGATCGGATAAAAGTTTGGCAAAATTGGTAAGTAAAAAAAAATTAAAATATAGCAATTACATTTGTATGTTTTTATATTTAGAAATATACTTCCATATTTTTTAGTTAATTTTATCACATAGTTGATTGATAGGATGCACCTACATTTTCCTATTTTCACTGTAGGACTGCTTTCAAAAACTCATTATTTTTCCTCATCTAGTTCATCTCAATCTATAATTATTAATACGATTATTATTATAACTTCAATGAAGATTTCAGTTTGATTGAAAATGAACAATATCAACTAAACTGGTCACTGATAATATGCACACTAGATAACATACGTATGCGATAGAATATAGTGGCGTGTTCTTTGGAACATCAATGTCAGCTGACGTGTTAATTCGTCAGCCAGTGCTGACGTAATTTGTTAATTGCGTGTTAATGCGCCACGTTAACGTACTGTGTATGAACCTAGTTTTGGTTTGCTCATCACTCAATCACACGAAGACCGTAGAATTATTGGACACTTTATGTTTCAATGTATTTTTTTAACTTTAGACAAATACTGAACGTAACAAATCAGCGTACAGAATCGTATTTCGTTAGCAATAGTTTATCGTTGCTTAGTTGCATATATATTATGTATATAAGTTAAATAACTTTCTGTCCCCCTACCTTCCTAACTTCCCTCTACAACAGTCACACACCCATCATCAGTATCAGTTATTTTATATTATAATTGACATAAAATATTTTAGTAATTTGCATTAAAATAGTTGTATTAATATTAACGTAATAGATTATTAAAAACTACGGATCGTAATATTTTAGATTCGGAGGAAAGCGAGGGATTAGTGGCATGGCGTGATGTAGACAGTGGTGTAAGCAATCACCAATAATTATATACTTACCTATATCTCAATCCATTTTTACTACCACTAAAGAGTCGCCCAAAATTTATTTAACACAAATATTATTAAAAATGATTTAAATAATTAACCGTAACTCCTAAATAAATACAATCGAGTAATAATAATACTTTGAACTGTTTGAAATCAATGAGTGAAGATGGCTGATGAGATTTCTAATATGGCAGTTTTGTATGTGGTCGCTTAAAGTATCACAATGATTGGTCATGTAACACATTTGAAAGTTACTTATATCTTCTTTCATCTTCTTATACTGTTCAAAAATTCTAAATGTAATTTATAATTTTATATTATAAGAACTTATCATGAGTTAAATTGTTTATTTAAAAATATACCTATAACATTTTATAACTGGTGTGATAAGTGCAGTAAGCAACGCTTAGCTTGCTTGTATGCACGACACGCCACTTTGAGGGATCTATTGACTTTACTATGTTTTTTTCTGCCTCTTAACAATTTTTTGAACAGAAAATTTCTATAATTAAAGTATCAGTAGTATCAGTTTTTTTTTTTTATATTTATTTACAATGAGAACATTCAAAACATTCAAGTGACATAATATGTACATTTGTGCTTTAGAAAACTTATAATATCTTTTTTAATTTTTCA